GAAAAAATGTCTGCTAAGCCAATGTTAAATCTGTATGACGAGATCATTGAGTATGAACTCTTAAAGCCCATTCTGTTACAAGCCATCACCACCCTGAAATTGAATTTCCTTCTGTTTATTGCATATATACTTCATCGTGCAATACTAATCTACTGGCCTGTGCATGAATTTTCAACAGGGAAGCCGGTTCATTTTATTTTTGTTCAGTGTGAATTTTCTGTGTATTCTTTAAGCTGTGTTTCAGCCTTCAGCTTAATGTGGGGAGTCTAATCATACATTGTTCATTAAAACCAAAATTAGCAAAAACCACAAATAATAAAACCACAAAGTCACCAAGTACATGTGTCCATCATTTGGCATTTAAAATATTTTTTATTGAGACTATATACTGTAACGCAACGGGGGCTCAGGCGGGCGCCCTTGCCGCATCTGGTCGGCCCCATCCCGACTGGAGGCTCGAACCCGGGACTTCCGCGTCTCTCTGCAGCGACCTAGCCCCGTGAGCTAAAGAGAGATCTCTCTACAGCCCAGTAGCTGTAGTCCTGCTATCACAGGGAAGGGCGGTGACGTCACCCGCTCTGGTACGCCGGCTCTTACACTTGTCGGCCGTAAGCGTTACAATACATTTTAGGCAATGGTAAAATCACATCAGATCATAAGAAAACAGGCCTTATGAAGAAGTACAGTATCTTCTTTCATGACTTAGGATCTTGCTTAAGGTGTCTGAAATGATGACTTCACAGCTTCTCATATGTTGGCTTGTAAACATCAAATCTCCTTTTCACCTCCACATGGTCCCTAGGAAACTATTTATAAACAAAACAGACTGAGTCAATCAGTCTAAGAAATTCACAATCCCTTACCATCACAATTCCAGAAAAACAACATTTGAACAAATGATCTTTATGATGATGATGAATCCAAGTGACAGCCATGTGGAAACACAATAGTCCTTCAGATCAAGTCTGCAATTTTTTCATTAAAATTCTCAAAGTTCTGAAATGCTCTTCATCTGTTGGGGGGGAAAATGAAATATTACTCTTGTCACATTTTGGAAATAAATGGCCTTATACATTTTGCCTGTTGTGTTTCTGTGGTTACCGGCTTTAATAATAAAATTGCTCAGGGATCTCCTTTGTTGTGCAGTGCTGTGTGAGTTGTTTTGCACAGCCTTGTGACTAAAGCCTTTCTGTGTAGCTCTATTTTGACTCACATCGGCAATAGGTAGACTTTGCAGTACTTAATCACTGGATACATCCTGCCCAATCTTCTTAGAATGACTCTAAATGTGAACATTGTTTTTAGATATGGGTACTGGGTGACACCTAGTAGTGTCATTACCCTGCACAAAATACTAGCAGTCTTTATTAGTCTTCCTTCCCTGACCACACACACACAATGTACAGGTGAGCACGGTGCAATCTGACAATTTGACTAGCATGTGTGTTCTAAAACAAAATTCAAAACCAGGATGAGTCAGAGGGAGTGAGCAGGTCTACTCTTGAAACACTGAACATGAGGCCGCTGTCGGCCTTTAAACTTAATTAATCAAAGATTTTGTAACGAGCTCTTCTCTGGCTGCCAAGTGAATTTTGCTGGTCTTGGGATACCACTGGCCATTTAACAGCGGGTGGGGGGGGGGTTTCCAGGCTAATTATCATTATTTTATTGTGCTTCATTAAGTACAGCACTCTTTCGTGAATTCTGAAAGAGATGCTCCTGGCTGGTGGGGAAAAGGAACTTGAGATAAGAAAACCTCCAAAAGAGGCTGATTACCAGAAACAGCTCTGTCAGCTACGGTTCTGTATTGGATTCTGTCTTGGAAATGATAAACAACCAGGCTGTGTCTCCACACCGCTTCCTCCTGGCTGGAGAAAGGGAGCAGTTACCCACTCAGCCAAGAACGTGCTTTTAGTTAAAACTGACCATAGGTCACCTGATCCACTTGAATTGGAGGCAGGCTGCCCCCCATATTTGTTCAATGGACCAGACATATGATGCAGTTTATCTTGGAGAAAATGATGGGTCCACCATTAAGTTTAGCAACTATTTGTGAACTATTTTGAGACTTTGAGCCTCCCTTGTACACCCCAGATCTTAATGGGGCAGCTTTGACTTCAAACTCTAGATGGACTGCAGTCTGCTTCATTATTACCTGCAGCTGTAGGCTGGATGTGACACATGCTCAAAAATGAGCTGAAAGGCCAATGTGCTAAAGAAAGGCACTACCAAATCAACCGAGACCTTTTCCGCCTTTCAGTAATTTATTCATTTTCATTGCTTTCATCTATAGTAATGTTATTACATAAGGGGCTGGATCAAGTCAATCTCACAAAGTCTAGCATAGCTTCAGATATGTTAGCAGATCTGTTCCACAGCCTTCCAAGAAGGAAAATTCTTACACCAGAGCTTGAGAATGTCCTAGGAACAGCTGGGAGAGTCCAGAATGAACCAGGTCCTGTAGTGGAAAGAATGAATGAAATTTACCCGCCCCTGCCTGGCAAGTCAAACATAATCAATAACTCCAACACCGACCCCCTTAATTAAAGGAGCCAAACGTCATCAAAACCTCCCATGTCACCATAGCTATTGCAGATGTTTTGAAAAAATGCTGTACATTAAACTGAGCTTGAAACAAAACACACAGAGTAATGTACTGCATGAGATGCCTTTGTGAAAGGCATTGGGTCAAACAGGCCTAACAATAGATTGATTTCAGGAATCTTGCAGTTTGTGCTGGGTGTGAATACTTTTTCTGGTGTTCAGCCAGTGACTGAGAGGTATAGCTCCTGCCATTTTTGTCCAGTTGCTGCCGGTTGTTTCCTGATGGGATCCACAATCTGGAAAGAGGTTGTGGGTTTGCTTTCAACCATCAGAGCCACACAGAAAAAACAAACCAGCAGCACTTCTCTTTTCAGTCCCCTCTTCTTCAGTGCTACTGGATAATTATTTGTCTTAATTTTCCTTTGCTGTTATGCTGAGCATCTCAAAATATAATCTGTACACGTTTTAAGCATAAATTCTTTAATAAGAACTGCAGTGACATACAATGTAAAAATATGAATGTATTCTTTGCATCACACCCTGGTCAGCAGTAACATGTTGTGACGCAACATCCAAACATTCCATTCATTTCAAAATACATCAGTGCAGTGAACAAATTAGAGCCTTATTAGCATAAAACTCCAGTGATAAATATACTCAAATTCATTTCTTTCTGAAAAGTACTGTATCTTTCACTTTTTTAATAATTTTACTAATCCTTGATAAACAGCTTAAACAGTCACCCACCACACAATTTTCTAAAAATAATAGTTGCTGTCTTCGAAATAAGTTCTGCTGTGCCTAAATGGAGCATTTCTGAAGCATCCTAGTTCAAAAAACTCTTTAGAGAAAAAAGAGGAGACTGCAATACAGGAGTGGACCTAATCTCCATGTTTTTTTGCTGTCAGGTTTTGTGGTTTCCTACAGGAATTGTGAATAATTTGTTTGATATTAAACCATAAAACAAAAAATGGGAATGACTGCTTTCGCATGGCAGTGGTGATTACTGTGGAAATTGGATTATTTGTCAACTTCTTGGCAGCCAGTATATGTAAAGCCTGTAAATTTATTCCTAGTGCATTATGGTACATTTTTTCACCTTCATTGCATGCATGAGATAGTTCAAATAATAGATGCCACTTTTATGCTGTAAGAGTCTTTTGCATAGCTGATATGTGTGAAGTTCTTCATTCTTAAGCTTTAATGTGCATTTTTGTTGCTTTCAATTGTAAACATGAGGTGTGATCTGCTGTTCGCACACAATTTATAACCTTGCGGGTAATAAATAATAGGTGTTGGTTTATAGACTTTCTTCTTCATTGATGCTGACATGTGTTACGTGTCGCTAGCCTGTAGATGGGGAAGCTGGATAAAGGTGACCATGCAACTCTCCACAGATCTTTTTACACTTGTTGATATAGAATGCTGTGTAAATTGATTTTTGTTGTTTATTCAGCTACATCCCTGGCTTCTAAGCTTGAGCTGGTTTGGTATTTGATGATTTTTCCTTTGAGTTGCACCAGGAAATGTAAGGTCTGTAGTTCAACCCATGTTATCAAGTGCTCCACTAGATGTGTTGTACAGTATACACTATGTTAAATAGGTACCATTATTATAATACCAGATGTATTCAGTAATGTGTTAAGTGACATTCTCCATATACCCCTCTGCCACTGTGAAAAGTTATCTGCCCATCATTACTAAAATACAAATTTAATCAAACAGCGAATTTCAGAATACTTTTCCCCCAGCTTGCAGTAATTGTTTCTGGCATGCAGTTCTGGATCAAATCTTGACCATCACAATCTTAAAGTTCCCTATTGCCTTACTTTCATCAGGAGTCTTAGAGCAGAGCTCTGATACAACATACGACCCAGCACATCCAATTAACTTTATGCTGTTCCTTTTCCATTCCAATTAATTATAAGGTTACAGTGTCCAGTTTCCCAAAGAGGAAAGGAAAAGTACACCTGAATCGAGTAGAAATTAGGGTTTTTTAAATGCAAATGTTGCTCCTTGATTGCATGCAGGCAAAACCCACCAATGGCCTGATAAATTCACCTGAGGGCAAAATGAAAGTTGCAGCAGAACCCATTTTAAACTAAATTCTTCATTTCCTAGAATATTTCAGTTTTACACCTCTTAATTGATTGCCAGGACACATTATCCCCTGCACCTGACAGAAGTATCTTCACGGCTCAGAAACTGAAGTCCTGAAAATAATATACAGTACATTGTATATGCAAATATATGTTAGTATATATACTATACTAAAAATATACTTTATTTTATACAGTATATAGTAGTTTATATGTTATATTTTATATAGTGTATGAAAATAGTAAAATATATGATATACAGTATGTTGTTTAATTTAGTAATAAAAAACATGTCAGCTATATTGTGCTTAACTGATGTCCACCCCTGTTCTGTCCTGTCCTGCGATGGGTGTGCAGGTGAGGATGACGATGACGACGAATGTGGCGAAGAGAAGCTGCCCTCCTGCTTCGATTACGTCATGCACTTCCTCACCGTGTTCTGGAAGGTGCTGTTCGCCTTCGTGCCGCCGACGGAGTACTGGAACGGCTGGGCTTGCTTCATCGTGTCCATCTGCATGATCGGGCTCCTGACCGCCTTCATCGGCGACCTGGCATCCCACTTCGGCTGCACCATCGGCCTGAAGGACTCCGTGACGGCCGTCGTTTTTGTGGCGTTGGGCACATCTGTCCCAGGTACGGCGCTTTTCCTGCCTCCCCAGCTCCCAGGTGTGTCGAGCCAGGCTGCTTACAGCGAGCAGTGTGGGTCGTGAGCTGCTGAAACTTGGCAGGCGTTCTAACCTTTTACTTTGCGAGTCGGGCTGAGTGATTTCGAGACTTCCAAAGAGTACTGGTAAGAAATTAGCAAAAACGAATACCTGTGAATGCTGGGTTTGTCCAAGAGGGGTCAACCTGAATATGTCTCAGTTTGTTCTTAAATAACAACAAGCTGCTGAATGAGGCATTTCAATTCCATGCAAGTGGCCCAGTTCCACATAACCTGAAATATAGGTTCTTGTTTTTCTGCTGCTACACAGTACTACCCTTCTACTTTGAGAGCACTAAAGCTCATTTCCAGATTTCATTTAGATCAGGTGTAATTTCATTTTCTGACCCCCCTTTTTCAGATTACAGTTTTATGATAATGATCCTTTCTGTGGCACAGAAGCGTGGCATTGATTTTTATACTAAGATGACAGACAGTACATTTGCGTGATGGATTGTATCCCTTTTGCTCACACCTCATGGGCTAATAATTCCAAACATGTCAGTCCTGTCTCTCTGGTGCATCAGGCAGGCTCAGATTAGACTAATTTGTTGTTCTTTTGAGTCGGTAATGAAAGTGAACTAAGTTTCTTTTTACACTTTGTGTTATGTGTAAATATTCAGCTTTCTAATAATCTTTTTCATAATTCCTGTAGGAAGATACACAGTATAGAACTCTGTAAACCCCCATTTTTTACAAGAGAAGGACACACAGCTATCCATGACCCAGTTCTTATTTAACTCGTTCAGTTAAAAGGCTTGGATTTGTCAATTTACACTTAAATGACATTCAGACTTTTTTCGAAAGAACTGCAGCTGAATGCACATACAGTACAGTAATACATCATAATGATAAAGTTTCCATCTTCATACAGAGAATTGCTGTCATATTTTTCATACATCTCTCTTATATGTATATGAAATATACAGACAGTAGTTGAAGTGACAGTATAAAATGTGCTTGTGGTGTTAGTGGTGTAGAACAGGAATGCTAAATATAGGACAAATTCAGCACTTTTGTTGGTTCCATTTAGCACTTGCAGAGTCTCATCAACAGTTAACAGTATGTGTGTAAAATAATCCTTAATGGATAAAAATCCTTTCATTTTATTTTTCTTTAAATAAGAAGCAAACATACTCAGCAATGCCAGTTTTTCAAAAGCCATTGCCTTGAAAAATCTATATTTACATCTCAGTGATAGATATAAAAGTAAAGAGATGAATGTAGAAGTACAATTCCTTGAAATCCTTCAAAGAAATTGTCTCCCTTTTTACCTCATTAGCAACCACTTTTAAATACAGACCTAGACTGTGTGTGATCACTTAACTGCCGGCTCTCCTGGGATTGAAAAATGATTTTCTTCTGCAGAGAATCATTTGTTGCATGAAGTGGAAGCAAGGGGGTCTCAACTGCATGTTCCTTACAACATATGGGCTAGTTCTTGAGCAGATCCGCAAGAAAAAATGGAAGAAAATTGCACCATGGAAGTGTGCGCACTTGGTAGATATTCCAGAAAAGCTCACAGCTGTAATTGCCTCCCCTAAGTACTGACTCGGGGGAGTGAATACTAAGGCAATCAACTTATTTTGGCGTTATATTTTTCTTCACACATTTTGCTGGCATTTAATTTATTTCACTCATGAAAGTGTTCTGTTGGAGCATTCAAGTTTGGATTAAAAATATTGACTTTCAAAAAATGTTTCGACATCATTTGTACTTGAGGTAAATGAGACATCGTTGGAAGGGGGTTAGTGCTTGTTGCAAAGTGCAGCACATTTCGTTCTGCGGTTTCTTTCTTCGCTTGTCTTCATTGAGCCCCTGTGTCAAACAAATTAGGGCTCCGTTCCCAAAGCTTTCAAAGCTCCGAGTCTCTGGGGCTTTTCAGACCTGGGCACTGGAAATGGTCAGATGTTTAAAAGGTACAGCCAGCATAATTAACAGTGTGAACAGCGTTCTTCCTGTGTGAAGAAGTGATTCTCCAAGCACACAAAGAAGCTTTTTATTCCTAAATCAAGAAGATTTTGCTGGTGTGATGTACAGTAGGATGTTCCTCCTGCATTAATGAATGTCGCTCAGATGATGATTGGATAATTGTTACTTTTTCTTTTCTGTTACACTAAATTTGTACTGGTGTTATATTGGATAAATGGAATGCATAAAGCTGTAGCAGCTTTGTTAATGAAAGTGGGACGTTTCAACACTGCTTGAAAGGCATAGCAGTACGGTATTGCTTTTGTTAGACAGCCCTCGTTCAAGAGCTGGGCCTGGTCATTACTGGGAACCAGGTTGCTGTTGTAAGTGATATTGGTGGACCAGTAGATGGCATTCTTTATCTGGACCAGAATTTCCAAACTTCAAGGGGCCCAGGCACACTTTGCTGTAGGAGATATTGTTGTTGGTATGATACTTCATTTTAGATTAAGGTTTTGTAATTTAACAATCATCTGTTGTCTGGCATCTTGGATAAATTCTCTTCTCGGCTTGTGCAATCTAACCCACAGTCCCGTCCCCCCCCTCCCCTTAATTAAATTAACAAAGACCATTCCTACACCTCCACCTGACCTGCTATGTAAGTGAAACTACTGGATGATAATTACTGCACTTCAGTGCTAGATGAAGTCAGTCTGAAAGTAAATACAAGTAATTATAAATATAAGGTAATCTGCACAAACATGAGAAGAAAAGGCAGAACAAATATAAGTGCTATAGTATAAGTTATTTCCCTTTTATATCACTGTGAAACAAACATTTATCATCTGAGGTAATTGAACAGAAATGGATTAAGTAATTCTCATATAAATGTATTAATATAGATACCAGTTAGAGCAAAATACACAGTTCTTCAGGAAACTCCTCCTGTGCTGAGGTTACTATATTAATCTACTTTATCCTAAGTGCTTTATGACACAAAATCAAGATTAAAAAGTGCTTGAACTGGGTTTCCCACTTTGGCTTCAAAGTGGTTTTCTTTAAAGTGGTTTGAAACTATCTGGCACATGTCTGATTGGTTGAAGGTGTTTTGGGAGAAGTGATTTTGTGAAGAGGCAGATACAGCATTTTTAAGCACACAGGCTGATAGTGTCTAATTAAAACACCGGAATTCCTGAATATTAGTCTTACTTTAAATCTTTATTCCAGTTCAAGACATTTTCTGTTCTCACAGCTGCTAATTTTTATGTTGGTTGGCAACCAGTTTGATCCTGTCCTTCTCCAAATTCATTTTTGTATCCCACTGACTGATTGGTCAAAGATGTGTAGGTGTGAATTCTGTGAGAGTTGTTTGGGGAATTAAATTTTTTTTTTTTTGGTCATTTCAAATAACCAGATTATTTTGTTTGTAAAACTTCCTTATCAAGCAATTTAGAGCCTGTAAAAATTCTGCTAACAAAAAACATCAACAACTAACAACTGTATCACAAGCAATGAGAGGTTCCTAGGTTTGTTTTAATGAAGCATGGTTATTTGTTAGCTTGCTGCAAAGGCCACAGGCTTTATGAATAGAGAGACATCATCACCCACGAGAGTCACTGGAGACATGAATGAGCAGCTTTTTAAGGAACAGAACTACACTGCTATCAAAGAACTGCAAATGGTACTGTAGGGTGCTTAGTGCTGGCACAGGCTAGCACTGTCAGTCTGAGCCTTAACGGTGCTGCCCTATAGCTTTATAAGAAGGAACTGGAGAAGAAGGATGCAGTGACTCTTATCCAAAATGAAGGATTTAAGCTCATATAGACACTCCAGGGCTTTGGGGACATCACATTGACCTTCTGAATATGAGGCTGGTGCTGCTCATACTGTACGGGGGACACAGATGATTTACCTTAGAACCTATAGAAGACCACTGAACCATAGTTTAACCAATATTGTTCTAAAATAAGACAAGTTTGTTTTCGTGTACTGTATGCGTTTTTCACCATCGTGTGCCGTTTTCCATCATGATAAATGCATTGGTTCTACCCAAGTATATTTACTTTCATTTGGTTGCATTTTTTGATCGGCTTTAGAATAATTTTAATGATTCTAAATTAACCTATTCTATTTTTTAATTATTTTTAATAACTGTGCACAACTGAAGTTCAGAAGGAAGACAAGACCCCTCTTTTCTGTCGATACCTGTCATCACATCACTATAAATAGTTATTTGCTCCTGCTCAGCACTTACTGGAGTGGCATCTGATTCATATGGTCTGGTGTCACTTCTTCAGCCCAGTGGCTTCAAATCAGGGCTTCAAGTTCCACTGAGTTAACAAAGGGGTTTGTCTGAACTTTGTCCGAGTTCCTTTCTAGGTAAATATCAGACTCACACTGAGGTACTTGAACAGGTTCTAAAAGTGGCAGCTCTGAAGATCCGGTTCAACGTGAAAGTGAAAATGTCCAATGAAAAATGATCTTGTGATGATTTCGTCAAAGCACGTGGTATTTAGAAGGGGACAGAAGGGTACAGTGGTCGGGTTCTCCTTTTTCTTTCACCACGCCATTTTTGTTTCTCCCTTTGCCCCCTAGACACGTTCGCCAGCAAGGTGGCCGCCATCCAAGACCAGTACGCCGACGCCTCCATCGGGAACGTGACGGGCAGCAACGCGGTCAACGTGTTCCTGGGCATCGGCGTGGCCTGGTCCATCGCGGCCGTCTACCACCAGGCCCAGGGCAGGGCGTTCAGGGTCGACCCCGGCACGCTGGCCTTCTCCGTCACACTCTTCACCATCTTCGCCTTCATTTGCGTCGGGGTGCTGCTGTACCGGAGGAGACCGGAGATTGGGGGGGAACTGGGGGGACCCCGGACTCCGAAGATCCTGACCACCATGTTGTTCGTCAGCCTGTGGCTGTTGTACATTCTCTTCTCGTCTTTGGAGGCTTACTGCCACGTGAAAGGCTTCTAAGGAGGATCTTGAACAGCGGCCGCAGCAAAATGTTTTTTTTTTTT